ACTGAAAATAATATCTTAATAAAACTACCAAACGCATTTTCAAAAATGATTTCTGTCTGAGATTGAAAACGTTTTCATTTCTATTTTCATACAAAAAAAATAAAATTATTTTAAAACGAGTTCCAAACGCACTCTTCATATTTGTCTTTATATGTCTTAGAATTTGAATGCTTTGAAAAATCACAACTTGATCCGTGCAAATTGAGGCCTTTTCTTTTTCTTTCCTTTAATGAGGTGGCAATTAAATGGTTGACAAGTGAGAACGTATCCAAGAGAAGGGCCATACGATCAATATAATACGTGTGTGAGTTCACAGCCGTATATATCTATATAATATGAAATATATTTATTAATGAAGATCACGTCATAAGGAGGCACATGATGGTGTGTTATATATAGCAATCGATCGACACGAATATTTTGAAAGCAACATATCTCATTTAATTTATGTTTGTGGTCGAGAAAGCCTATATAACATAGGCAGAAAGAAAGTGTCTTTTCTTTGTCACGTTGTTTAATTTGAGAGAGAAAAATACAAAAGCCAACTTGGTGAGAGTTGGTTGCAAATGGGATATTCTAAGGGGCCGTACGGGACTAGAATATGAATAAAGAGAAGAGCCGCCATTTTTGAACTCCCTCTCTCTTTATATAGTCAGCTTTTATTATAAAAGCCTCTGATAGAAGATCATTCCTCAAACATCTCTTAAAATTCTCATCTAGATCTTGTGACTTGTATTCGTTGGTGTTGAAAGAGATATATAGTATTGTTTGTCTGTATTATGTTCAATACTAATCAAATTGCTCTGTATCTAGAATGGGCGGTTACATCCAATTCTGTTACGTTTGGTTAGATGATTCAAACCATGTGATTCGAACTATTTTTGATTTATGTGTATTTTTTTATGAGAGAAAATACTGTAGCGAATCACGAATCATGATTCGAATCAGGAAACGAATCCCTTTACCAAACGGTTTAGAAATTGAGAAGAAGATAATTTGTGGAACCTTAATATATCCTCGTTCACTTCGCTGATTCGAGTTTAGAATTCGAGTTGAGATGTGATTTTATGTGAGAGCTTTTTACTGTAGTAAAAAAGTTAGATGTGATTGTTTGTGAGAGCTTTTTACTGTAGAAAAACTCGAATCAGCGAAATAAACGGGGCCTCAGATTCAATTTTCAAAAGGATGAAAATGACAAGATGGTTGAAATCTTAGAGACAAAAATCAGGGTTTATCCTATATGTAAAAGATTTATTTTTAATGATTTTTAAATTATATATATATCATGATTTTTAAAAAAAATATTTTTTCAGAGAGTTTTAACAAGCATTTATGTTAGAAAACAACCCTTTGCTGATGACGTTTTGCTTGATACGGCTACAAGAAGTTGACTATATATTGCAAAGGAACAAAACGTTTATCTTGAAATCGTGTGTAACAAAGTTTAATACTTCAAATGTGTTTGAACCGATGAATAACAATAAAACATGCATAGAAATATGGAAAGTCTGTATGACAAATTGGAAAAGGTCAAGGAATTTTCGAAAGACAAATTGGAAAGTCTGTTTGAATCAATGAGCTAAAGATCCAGAAAGCAATCAATTTAGTATTATTCAATTTTTTTCTTCTTTTCTTAATTTCATTACTCAAGCTAACAACTCTTCCCGAATAAAGTACAGTAAAAGCTACAATAATTGGATTCTCAACAGATCAAGATTAGTATTACAACTCTTACCACAAATATTATCCATAGCTAAAATAAGCAGGCATTAGTTGGTGGTGTGATAGTCATGACCACATAAAAATAACATTGTCTCCATGATAATAAAAGTTACTGATAAATCATTACTAAAATCTATTTATTCTTATGAGTGACAATAAATGAATTACTATATTAATTAACTATTACCACATATATCACATGTACAGATTAAATACATAAATCAAAGACAGCACTAGAGACATGAACAACACTATATTTAGAAGAGCAGTACAAGTACTAATAAAAAAACCATGCTCTACATTGAAAATTGATGAATGATTTACTGATCCATCTGTAATCCCACCAACCATTGCTCAGTGAAGAGGACAAATAAAAATCTTTCAAGTTTATTTTTAATAAATGGGACCACAAATGACTTTAGTTGTTTCAAAAATATTTGAAGATGTCCAACTTCCAGCACCACCGCCACAAATATCAACTCACACAGCAATAGATCTAAAAACTTCAGACCCAAAAAAATTAACACAAGGTAAGACATATTTATTAATTTATATCAATTATCAATAAAAATTAACATTTACCATTTTCAATACATATTTTAACAATGTTTTATCATTTCAATTCTAAAGCAAAAACAGCAAACCCACCCAGAAAATGCCTAAAGACCAGGTAATATAACTACTTCTAAATCATTTAATTTACACTAAATATAATTAAAGATATTCAACTTCCATAATTGTTATTATTAATTTTTTTAAAGAATTTGTATTTTGCAGTTAAGAAGAACAAAAACAAAAAGAAAGACAACAAATTTAATACAATGTAAGAAACTTTTAACTAGCATATTATTTATATATAAATGTCTGTATATATATATGTGTATATATAAACTAATCCTATATTATAAAATTCTTAACTTTTTGTATAATACAACAGTATTTTTCGGACAATGCGCGGACTTTCGGCTAGTTTTATTCTATTGCCGTGGTTAGCTTTATTTAATGTGAAAATAAATTAAATTGGTTGATTACCATCGAAATACAATTTAAATAGTATTTAAAATATATCCAATTGACGGTTTAAAATTTACGTGAAAAAAATACTTAAAATAAAAAATATAGCCATGAACAGTTAAATCATATTAAAACACAAAATGATCATTTGATAAAAATTTGTTAATATTTAATAGTTTAAAATATGATTAATTATAAAAATTCTTCCTGAATTATACTTTTTGTAACACTTTATCCATTGATCTTTAAAACATAACATATTTTCTCCCTTAACAATAAAATGTTAACAAAAAAAAAGCCAAATCCGTTAGCTTTTTAATTGAAATTGACATTTAATTTTTTATTTTGAGAGTATTTTAGTAATTCTACGGTTTAAATTCTAATTTGATTTTAAACTAATTAAAATATTCAAAAAGAACTTCATAAATTTTTTTTATTCTACCAAAAAGAGATTTATAAAATTTTTAACATATATTCAATTAATAATAAATGTATCATAATTACAAGTTAAAATTTAAATTAGTTCTAAATTCAAATTAAATTTTAACCATAAGCTACTAAAATACTCTAAAAATAATAAATTAAATGTCAATTTCTGTTAAAAAACCTAACAGACAGAGCTTTATGTCAATATTCCATTGTTTAAAGAAAACAAATGTTGCGTTTTAAAGATTAAAAGATAAAGTGTTACAAAAGATATAATTCAGAGAGAGTTTTGTAATTAATCTTTTAAAATATTACTTATCAATAATCTAATTTTTCTATTTCCACTCCGTAGCCACAGTTTAAAAATAAATAAATAAATAAATAAACCCCATTTGGTGGTATGTCAATATCATGGCTTGAAGTCATCTTCCAATGTTTGCTTGTTTCCAAATTTGCGACTGCCACATGAGAATGCAGCATATTAGGCAGAAAAGGCGCCATATGATAAACGTGACACAAATATTGGATTTGAATACTTTTTTTTTTTTTTTTGGGTATTGGGAGTCACTACAAGATCGGCTATATGGTGCATCTTATCTTTACCGTGACGAGGTACTCGATCGGAGTTCAAGAAGTCGATCTCCAGTTTGAATGATTGCTTAAACCTGAACCAACAATTGAGTTGGAGAGTTCGACTTTCTGTTAAGTGATTATTGAATGTCTCGAGAAACTCTACCAAAAAATGCTATGACCGATTTTGGTAGAAAACAAATTCGTATGGCAAGATGATTTCTGTCATAAGATATTTCATTAGTAGTGTGCACTTTTAAAAGCCAAATTATAACAAAATGCTAATATAAAAGTAGCAAAATCAATGGAAATTCAACAATATAAAAGTAACATATATGGCGAGATGATTTCTGTCATAAGATATTTTATTATTGAATGTCTCAAGAATGTTTATTTTTTATATTCGTATTTGATTTTAAATTATAATTCATAATTTTTTATAGTAATTTTTTCTCATAAAAAATATACATAAAATAAAAATAATTTTAAATTATAATTTCAAATACATGAACCAAACGTCTATGAATCGTATAAAACTGCAAACTACTAATAAAGGTTCTCAGAAAATCCTTTGTTTATATTGCTATCAAACACAAAGAGGAGGAACCTACGTAGAACTCATTAGTGGGACCCACTTCCATTGGGACGTAGGAGTATTCCTTTCCCGCTATATATGCACAGGAGAGGTGGAACATTCCTACCCACCACGCGGCCCCACTCACCTTTTTCTATTATTAGTTTTGTTCTCCTTCTCTTTCGCACCTAAAAGTTAAAACAGACAAATAATTAGTTGTCTTGGCTAATCACACAAATATTTAGTCAGGAATCCCTTAATTATACTGATATAAACCTCTTTTTAAACAGAGGAAAAATTACTTAAAAATTTTGCACCCCTGAGGAAGATTCTTCTCAACACGGGTCAGTGGCATGTGGGAGTTATGTCCCCACCAAACCAATATCCCTTATTCTAGCGAGTGCAGAATAAGATATCGTTCACTTTATGGATTCGAGTTTTTAATTTGAGTTGTGATTTAATATTTTTTTAAAATTTTTTATTATAATAAAAAAAGTTAAATGTGATATTTTTTAAAAATTTTTTACTGTAAAAATCTAAAAAATGAACGAGGCCTGAGACTTTTCAAAACAAAACCCCCACAGGTACAACAAGCGGTACCTAAAATCACGAAAATTGAGAGTAGTTTTTCTGAGTTGTAATATTATAAGTCCAAATTCTCAAGCTTCCAAATATTAGAGTCAGCCACACCGAAACTACATACATGCACAATCGCCAAGGCCGCCATTGAAATCTCTTCCCCATCATTCCCATTTCTTCTTCTTCGCCTGAGTTTTCTGACTGATCGTGAAATGGGAAACCCAGGTCGGAAAATTATGTTCTTCTTCGTCGTCATTTCTTTCATTCTTTCTCGGTTTTGCTCTGCATCCGACACGATCACGCAAGGCGGATCGTTGAAAGACGGAGAGTCCATTGTCTCCGATGGCGATATTTTCGAACTGGGATTCTTCAGCCCGGGGAATTCGACGCTGCGGTACGTCGGAATCTGGTACCATAACATTCAAGAACTTACGGTCGTTTGGGTGGCGAACAGAGAGAGGCCAATTTCTGGTAAAACCGGGGTTTTGACGATCGACAGCGATGGCAATTTGGTCATTTTGGATGGGAACAACAGCGGCTCTATATGGTCGAGTAACGCCTCGGTTTCATCGAACAACACGACGGCGAAGCTTAACGACGAAGGAAATCTCGTTCTTTCGGGTTCGACGGAGAAGGTTTATTGGCAGAGCTTTGAGCAACCGACAGACACGTTTTTACCTGGGATGAAAGTGGAGGCGAGTTCTAGGAAAGGAGAGAACTGGGCTTTCAGTTCGTGGAAATCTCCGAACGACCCGTCACCTGGGAACTACTCCATGGGAGTTGATCCTCGCGGGTCGCCGCAGATCGTGATACGGAAGGGATTGGAGAGGCGTTGGAGAAGCGGGCATTGGAATAAGCAGATTTTCACCGGCGTTCCGAATATGTCGTCGAATTATCTATACGGGTTTAAGCTGCAGGAGCAGGACGGGACGAGTTACATTTCTTATGTTCCTTCGAATGGTTCGGATAAGTTGAGGTTTAGGATTGAGAGGAACGGGTTTGAGGAGCAACTGAGGTGGGAGGAAGACAATAACAAGTGGCGTGTTACGCAGTATCAGCCTGATAAGACTAATGAATGTGAACTTTACAATAAGTGTGGGAAATTCGGAGTTTGCAGCTCATGGGAGTCGCCGATTTGCGAGTGTATGGATGGCTTTGAGCCTGTGGATTTGGTGGAGTGGAGGAGGGGGAATTGGTCTAAAGGGTGTAAGAGGAGAACAAAATGGAAGTGTGAGACTAACAGCAGCTCTGGGATAGAGGAGGATGGCTTTGTCGTCATGAAATCGGTGAAGATGCCGGATTTTGCTGATTTGGTGACGCCAGGTTCGGCGACGAGTTGTGAGGATATGTGTTTGAAGAATTGCTCTTGTGCGGCTTATGCGGAAGCTAGTGGAATTGGGTGTTTGATATGGACAACAAACTTGTTGGATGTCCAGCACTTTAAAAAGGGGGGGAATACACTTAACGTTCGGGTTGCGCATTCTGATCTTGGTATGCTTTCGATTTCCCTTGCCTTTCTCATTGTTCTCTCCTTTTGTTATTGACTATACGTGTTAAGTTTCTCGCAAAAGCATTTTCCATATTGAAGTTAGTGAATTGGTTATTATTCATGTGTTTACTTATTTAGGAATTTTGCACAATAGTACAGTGTTTAGGATATGGAATGTGACAGATTCCTTTTCTATCTTATAAGTCAAGAAAAAATCTTGAACTTGGATTTGGTAATGTGAAAAAGCAGAACATTACACAGAAGACAAGGAAATAAGTGTAGATCACAAATTCTTTTACTGAATTTGATCTAAAGATCTAGGATTCTAGGTAATACACGAGTGCATCTTTTAGCAAGTTTGGCAATACTTTGACATTTTTCCCCATATATACAGGTGGCAAGAGCAAAAAATCCACTGCTTTGATAATTACATTAACTGTAGTGGGAGCAATTCTCCTAGGTTTATTTATATGGATACTATGGAGGTTCAAACTAAAACTGAAAGGTAAGCTTTTTCATTTTTCTCCATTTGTGGGGATTAAGGCTATATTTCTAGGCAATTTCAACTAGAACGTATCCGTTCTAAGATATTACTCACTATTTGCTTCTAACTTTTCTTCTTTTTTTTTTTTTTTGGCGCTTTTTATATATAGTTTTGCCGAATCCTTCTCCAGTCTCCTGGTTGAGGAGCAGCGAAATACTACCTTCTGATGCGGGCAAGAGCAAGGAACACTCGACAGATCTTTCGGGATCGATTGACGTTATAGAATGCTCCCAAGTAAACAGGTCGGAGTTACCGTTGTTCTGTTTCGATGTCGTGGCAACCTCTACAAACAACTTTTCTGAAGAAAACAAGCTTGGAGAAGGTGGATTTGGGCATGTCTATAAGGTAGTTATATGTTTTAAGCATTTCATGAAAAACTTAGGAAGCTAAATTGGTATAAGCTAACAGTAAAGATACATTTTTCACTTACCAGGGAAAGCTTCCAGGGGAACAAGAAATAGCTGTAAAGAGGCTTTCTAGAAAATCAGGCCAAGGCTTGGAGGAGTTTAAGAATGAGATCATTCTTATTGCTAAGTTACAACATAGGAATCTCGTTAGACTGTTGGGCTGCTGCATTCAAGGAGAAGAAAAGATGTTGCTTTATGAGTACATGCCTAACAAAAGTTTGGACTTCTTTCTTTTCGGTATGTTTTGTTAAGAGAACTAACGCGAAAGAGTGCATTTAAGATTTATTTTGCTACTAATTGGTTAACTTTTTTTTTTCCCCTTCTTTTTTGGTAAACAGCAGATACAGAGAAGCGGGCACTGCTAGATTGGAGAAAACGCTTCAATATAATTGAAGGGATTGCAAGGGGGCTACTTTATCTGCACCGAGACTCGAGACTTCGAATAATTCACCGAGATCTAAAGGCAAGCAACATTTTGCTGGATGAAGAGATGAACCCAAAGATTTCAGATTTTGGCATGGCAAGAATATTTGGAGGAAACCAAAATGAACTAAATACAAACCGAGTAGTCGGCACATTGTAAGTCAAACTCCTTGACTCTCATAAACAAGATAATTTATCTGAATCATATCTAAATTTTATTGATCAAATTTTACTATCTACAAATTCCAGCGGTTATATGTCACCTGAATATGCAATGGAGGGTCTCTTTTCAGTCAAGTCAGACGTATATAGTTTCGGGGTGTTGTTGTTGGAGATAGTGAGTGGCCGAAGGAACACTAGCTTTCGTAATACCGAACACCTAAGCCTGATTGGATTTGTAAGTAAAACTACTATGTTATCTACGTATACTTGGGGTATAAGAGCTATATTCTTGTGAAATATGAGTAAATGAAATGTATGCAATGGTTTCAGGCTTGGAATATTTGGCATGAAGGAAGAGCAATGGAACTCCTTGATCCCTCTATCGCAGAAACATGTTCCCAAAACGAAGTCTTAAGATGCATTCAATTAGGGGTTTTGTGTGTGCAAGATTCTCCACTTCATAGACCGACCATGTCGTCTGTAATTTTGATGTTGGAGAGTGAAAATGCAAATCTTCCATTGCCAAGGCAACCAACATTCACTTCAATGAGAGGCAATATTGTAGATATGGACTTGTTTTCAGAAGGTCGTGACCATGCATCCGTAAGCGATGTAACGGTTACAATGGTAGATGGGAGATAGGGATATGAAACTCCAATTTAGAGCTTACTTCTTTTGTGTACGCCGTTTCTGATAGACAAAATTATGGCAGTGCGAGGTTTTTCCCGATTCATTAATTCTTATTTGTGCATAAGAACAGAGGAAGGCCAATGTGGTGCCGATTGAGATTTGAGTGGCTCAAGGGCTTACACAAATGTATAGGAAACCTTTTACTTTCTTACTTGATAATGATCAATACAAACGACAGAATTGTAGTTAGGCATGTAATGTATAATTTGGATGTATATCAATTATCATGAAAAGAAAGTTTCAATCTGAAATATGCAGTTCATCCAGAGGCCTCCTGTGACATAAGAAATTACCAGTATGCTCTACAAACTAGAGCTATATTATGTTTTTATATCCTTTGCAATTTTAGTTCCAATTTCATATTTTTTTGAGGGGACTGAAAAAGGTTTTCTACATCGACGACCCTTAAGACAATCCCGATCAGGAGTCTAAAGACTACAACATGGTTATAAAAGTGTGTACTGATTTTTCTTACCATCTTCAGCTATATTTGGACAAAGTCCAACTTCTATGTTTCATGATATATAAAATGTGTATTATGACAACCATTGTGACAACTATGACAAGGAAACAATTAATATGGAATTACATTGCTGGACACATTCATGGCTTCAAAATCGCGTTTGGTTCATGGATTCAAATTATGTGATTAGAACTATTTTCAATTTACGTATATTTTTTGTGAAAAAAAATACTGTAGCGAACCACGAACCATGATTCGAATCAGGGAACGAATCTAAGTACATTCAAACTCAAAAATTCAAACCCAAAAAATTCAAACCATCATGATTTAAATTCTCATATACGTGTGAGGTGAAACAATAATGGGTGGAGAGTGAGATTTTTATTTAAAATATATTAAAAATGTAACTATGTCTGCTTGTGTACGTATACTATGCCACAGAGGAAGGAGTTGTTGCGGAGTTAAGAAAAAAAGATGTCGAATAACAACACTCTTTCGAACGTGGCTCCTAAAAGAGACTGAGGGCTCGTTTGGTTTATAGTTGGTTTAAACTAAAATTTAAAATTTTGTGAAAAAGAACAATATAGCAGAACCATTTAAATCAGAGTTTGAACCTCTTAAAAAAACACGCTCTAAAGGTTGGCTTCCTCTTCATCTCCTCATTCTTTTCTTTCCTCTTTTTTTTTTTCTTTAACTTTTACTCTTATACTCTTTTCTTTTTCGAGAGTTATTAGACCTTACTATTGATATGATTAATTTTTTAATCCTTAAATTTAATTAAAATTAAATTAAATTAAAAATATATATAATTATTAATTTTTAATATAAATTTAACGGTTAAAAAAAATAACTAAAAAACTCTATTCTTTTTTTAACTTTTTATTTTTTATTTTTTTCTTTTCTTGTACGAAAATTTCTCAGGTGCTCTCTATATATTTTTAAAAACATCAGTATTCCCGATAAAATTGTGTTTGACTTGATAGTCATTGGTGCATTTTCAGCAGTTGTATCATCTAACCGTGCACGTGCGCTCATATTAAAAGCCCATCCTATGTGGATATATCACTGACTGGTCCCACTGCCATTTTGTTTTGAAAACAGAAAACATATCTTTTTTATTTATTTAGGGGTCGTTCTTTTTTAACAGAACTGACAAAAAGTTTAAAACTTTAATTATAATTTTATTTAAGCTCATATTTTTTTATAAAATTTAAATTTTAACTTGAGTTTTAACTCAAATTTAAATTTGAGTTTATAGTTAAATTTGAGTTTAAGTTTTCTCTTCAACTTTAGTTTAGAAATTCAAACTCAAATTAATGAACATTATTTTTTCTATTCTTGAAAATGTTATATAACTTTTTCATTTTAATTTTAATTGAGATGATTTTTTTTCTAGCATTCAAAACGAAAAGATGAATAAAACTCTATCTATATATCCTATTAAAATTTTTCATTACCATTGAGTTTTTATTAAAATACTATATAAATATAAATTTAAGTTTTGATTCACCCAAATACAAACTTAAAAAAATTCTCAATTCAAATCATAATTCAAATGTGCACAACTGTACATCTAAACACAAACTTAAATTATAATTTTAACTCAAATTATAACTCAAACTCAACTTAAAATTATCATTTAAATTACTCTAACTAAAAAATACAAAAGAACTACCGCTTATTTATTTATTTTTTGCTCCAAACTGGAAAAGTACTGCTACTACTACACTCTAACTTTTTTCTCTCTCCTTGCATCGATACTGCAAATTCCCTCTTCCACGTCCTCCATTTTTCCGTTCTCTGCAACATGCGAGAAGCTTCAAATTGATTTAAATGACATAAAAAAAAAATCTCCACAGCAAGAGTGCAAGACTTTGCACCCCTGCCTTCAATATTCATGACAAAAATTGAAAAGTTCATCTTTCTATCTAAATAAAACGTAGGATCTGGTTTTAGGGAAAAGTGACAAATGTATTGTAATCCTTTAAGCTGCTGTAAAAGATAAATTTAGGAGACGTTTGATTCATAAATTAGAATTATGAGATTAGAATTATTTTTAATTTATGTATATTTTTTATGAGAAAAATACTGTATTATAAATCATGATTCAAATTATGATATGAATATTCTTACTAAACGTCTCCTTAAGTTTTCATCGGATTCGTCGATTTAAATTTTTAATTTAAATTAAAATGTAATTTTAAATAAATTTTTTATTATAGTAAAAAAATTAAATATAATTTTTTTATGAGAGTTTTTAATTTTAATAAAATTTAAATTAAAAAAATTAAATTAGTGAAATTAATGAAATATTAAAAAACAAAAAATATAAAAAAATGACTTAATAATGTATTTAAAATCGTTTAGTTCACTAATTTAAATTTATAATTTAATTTAACATGTCATTTTATATGATAATTTTTTTATTATAATAAAAATATTAAATATGATTATTTTTAAAATTTTTTATTATAATAAAATTTAAAATTTAAATTTAAATTGATAAAATTAACAGATTTAAGATACTTTTGAAAAATGAAATTGGAAATAAGAGAGAGGGAACAAGGATAAAAAGCAAGAAGTTCTGTCTCTGAAGAACCCAACGGATTCTGTAGTTTCAGGTCCTGTTTATTTTACTGATTTGAGTTTAAAATTTAAATTTTATTATAATAAAATACTCTCAGAAAGAGTCATATGTAATTTTTTTATTACAGTAAAAATTTCTCATATAAAATCACATATCAACTCAAATTAAAAATTTAAATCAGATCATATCGGGTGCGTTTGGAATTCGTTCCAAAATGTTTTTATTTTTTGTATGAAAATAAAAATGAAAACGTTTTCATTTTCATTTTAGAATAATTTCTGAAAATGCGTTTGGTAGTTTTGAAATCATTTCTGAAAATGTGTTTGGTGATTTAATTTTTAAAAATATGTAATAATATTTAAAATAATAATATATTAAATAAATAATAATATTAAATATATTAAATATTTACTTTAATATTTCCCAAACACACTCTCTCTCCCGCATCTCTCTCTCTCTCTCTCTTTCTCTCTCCCCGCTCCTTCTTCTCTCTCCGTAAATCAGATGCAACCACGATTAGTGACGGCGGCGGCTTCCGACGACTGACGATAGCCACCGAGCGAGGGAATCTCTGGCGACGTCTCTCTCTATCTTTATCTCTTCGTAATTTTGGTTGAGATCGTGATTTCTGTTCGCGATTCCGGCCAAGCGATGTTGTTGTTGGGATGTCGGTCACAATCTGGAGCCATTGTCGCGATCTCCTCGTGATCCATGTCGGGATCTCCACGCGATCTTCTCGTTCAACCGTCGTTCAAGATCGCCATTCTGACAACCGTTCGCGAGCAAGAAGAACGCCGTCATTGGAGAAGAAGACCGTTCACAAACCAGATCACGATGTTGGAGTAGGGGAGGGGGTGCAGTCGGGGGTGGTGGGTAGTGGAGAAGAGAGAGAAGAAAATGAAAAAGAAAATATGAAATCCGTTTTCAGAAAATAAAAACGAGAAAATGAAAACAAATTTTTTACGTTTTCAGAATTTTACAAAACGACAAAAATAGTTTTGTTTTTATTTTTTTAAAAAATTTATGCCAAACACGTTTTACAAACGTGTTTTTAATTTTTTATTTCAAAAAATATGAAAAATGAGATTAAAAAGGGTAACAAATAGGGCCATCATGTTCTAGATTTCTCTGATGTATTTGGTGACGTTGCTGTGGTGGTGATGACATGTGTCCTCCACGTGCTCTGTTCTGATTGGCGATTGAGACGCTCCTTAATGAAACGACACAGCTTCTTTCCTTTGATAGTGTAAAACGCTTTCTACAGAAATTGCCGTGTAATGGGATTACTCCATCAGTTTTTTGTTTTTCCTTTCTGTTTTCTGTCTAAAGTGTGCCTCTTGGCATCTCTTACTGTCAATCAAGTCTATTCATCCGCGTTGGATTTTTAGGTAATTTTTAAGTTCAATTTATTTTACCCATTTAAATTTTATTATAATAAAATATTTTAAAAAATAATCACATTTAATTTTTTTATTATAATAAATTTTTTTATATAAAATTACATCTTAATTCAAATTAAAAATTTAAATCAATAAATTAAATGAGTCTTTAATTACCTCTTAAAATAATACCATTAAAAATTTTTAATTTTTAACCTTGACCTATTGAATGATATTATGTTTTTAAGTGGCCCAATCCACAAAATTCACAATATACAAGAAATATATATATTTAGGCGAAATTAAGCTAATTTGTTTTGTTATTTAATATGTATTAAATAAATAATGAATTGGAATGGTTTGGAAAAAATGCTTCAATATAATAGAAAGGATTGTAAGAAGGTTATTTTAGCTACGTTCATTTCACTTCACTGATTCGAGTTTAAAATTTAAGTTTTGTTACAAGAAATTTTTTTTAAAAATAATTATATTTAATTTATTTATTATAATAAAAAATTTTATATAAAATTATATCTTTAATTTAAATTAATAAATTAAACGGGTCTTTTATCTGCATTGGGACTCGAGACTTCGAATAATTGACCGAGATCTGAAGGCAAGCAAGCATTTTGCTTGGGAGGAAAGCTAGGGGACATCTGTGGGGGTGTTGCTAACTACACCAGTTGGCGCCTACGTATCTGTTGACGTGGGTGTTTTGTGGGTCCCATCAGTTTTTACAAAGCACTTTCTCTCTCTAGCAAATAAATGTTGCGTCTCATAAGTTTTTTTTAAAAAAAATAAAAAACCTTTGGAATCTGACTTACTTTTACCATGGACCCCACCTGAAACAACAGAGAAA